AAACCGCTTAAAATTAAATATATCTCTTATGTATTACTTAATTTTATATCCATAATTGTTCAGATGTATCAATTATTTTTTGTATTTTATTTAGATAGCGAGTCGACTCGAGAGATCTACTAAAGATAACATACCTATATACCTCATGCTTGTAATGTGTTGTCCTCTGTATAATATTGTCTGCTGTATAGTGTACATGAAATAATAAATAAATAAAATAAGAACCATTAATCCGTCTACTTTTTTTACTGTTGTATTTGTAGAAAAATATCTACCTCTGCAGAGTTAGTTTGCAAAGTTTTCTCGCTACTGGTTTCAGTCCTAAGTAGCACCTTTAACGATCTAGCTCGCATTCTCTGCGAGCCATATCAATGAGGTATTAAACCCAAAGCCATCGTGCTTAGAACTTTAGTGCGGCTACGTATCATGAATACATTGCCTTTTTATTTTACAATAAAAAATGAATCTACATCTAAATTGCTTTGATTTAAAAACAAATAAGATGGAGTCTTTTTAAATGATTGCGCAGTTTAATGCTGCCTTTGTTATGCTGTTTTTTCCATAAGACTGACCACCCTCACTGGATACTTTGTACAGATTTAAGTTGCGTTTATTTTTTTTATTGCAATAACAATTTTACTTTTATGGACATCGGTATGTAGGTATCAAAGAAATGGGTAAAATTCACAATAGAAGCTCAGTTAAACTAATAATTGTATATACGTGATACGTTGCATAGCACGCTTAGTTATTATAGGTATTTAATTATTGTAACGCGGCAATTCGATTTTGGTTTGTGTCGGACGCACGCGCGCAACTCTAGTGGCATCACGGCCACCTCACTATTCTTCTTCCCCCGCTACTGACCGCTCGACGCTTGCGAGGACGCAAAAAACAACGAGTCCCGCGCCGGAGCCGTGACGCACGCGCTCCGTTTTTGTGCCGCGAAATATTTGAGTTTTATTTTATTTTAATATTGTGTAACCTTGTTTATATTTATTTCAATATATACAATTTACAGTCATTCGTGGTCGAACTTTATTTCAGGCCCCTGAGAACCCACTAATACAATCATCAAGTAGTGACAACACTGGTCACTGCCAATGTTTGACCAACTTGTAGCGTATCGGGCCATGGTCTATGATAACGAACTATAACTATGTATATACGAAATCATCCGCTGATAATGTTATGGAAACACACCTAGGCAAAGAGGCATATACAAATTAAAATTTCAAAAAAACTACGTGATATTTTAATTATGGCGACTGTCGCGATGCTGCTTTGATCCTCTAGTATAGCCTAAAACTAGAGTCGAGTTCCTAGCCAAAAAGTTACGTAAATAAGCCGAAAACATAATAATTAATTTAGTATGTTTCACGAAAGTTTTATTATAAATACGTAATATTTTATCAAACTTGAACAGCTACTTGTAAGCAAATACTTAATTCAATTAAAATACTCGTTATTATTCTAAGGTTTTGTGCAATGAATAATATTTTATTCATAGAAAACGCGCATAGAACGCAGTACTTATATTAATTAGACACTAATGTACCCTTCTATAAAACTTCTTTACCTTTCAGAAACAGACGTCTAGACCAGCATTAACCAATTGAGTCTATTATAATAAAGAATAAGACTAATTAATAATGGTCATTGACAGACCGAAGAAGAATATCGTACAACGTGATTTGAATTTAATCGTGTTTAATTAATAGTGAAATTACGTCGCTCCATAACTCCTTGCCTTTATTTTTTTTTTATAGAAACTAGGTTATTTATCTCATTTTTCGTTTTCTTAACAAATAGGTATCTGAGTAGATTCATGTTTTAAAGATAGAATAAATTTCGGTCCAGTAGTGAAAACGTCTGATGAATAAGGTTATTAATATAAAACGTTGGTCAAATTATTCGTCCACAAGTTAAAATCGACGTGGTTGCTACGCCAACACAAGGACCGATATTTTTCAGATAAAGTTTCGTTACTTATTTTTATTAATATTCAGATCAATATATTACGCAAAAACCACTTCAAATAACAAATACATAAGATTCTTATTAGTTATTTATAAACAAATTCATGAAAGCTAAAACCCTAGAGGGGCTGTTCTAGAAACACTTATTTATACATGAAATGGTTAAATTACAAACGAATTTACATAGCTATGAACAAGTTGGAACGTTTGTTAACAGGTTAGTTAACTGTCCCAAGAGTTATTCAGTTGTTTCAGTGCTGAAGCTGTTCTGTTTACTCTTTCTGGGTTAGTGGTGCTTTAAAATGGCATTACGGGTTGGTAGTTTTGTCACTAGTAGTTTTCTATGTGGTATTGTGTTACGTTTTAGTTTATAGAACATGTTGCTAGGGTCAATTACGTGAGATAGTGTTATTTTTTGGTCAAAATCTAAATTAATTCAATGTTTCGTTTGTAATTTCAACTAACATTTAAATCTATAACTACATTATACTAAATATACTATATACACTGTAACTACCATTTATATCTACCTCTATAAACTCTGAACACAGTGCAACTTGTGGTACACGGATGAGGAGTAGGGAAATCCCTATTTTTCATAATTGCATTTTTTTAATATCGATTCTACTTCGTTCTACTTATATAGGACTTATAGTCCAGTACTTACTTAATCAAGTTCTATGAATCTGTTTCAAGTCAGGACCCAGGCCCCAGGTCAATTTTTGACAATGGCTCTAAAGTCTAAACCATGTCCCTATTATTGCATTAATCGAATATCGAGCTCAACCATCGAACTTGCGACTTTGACGAACTATGATTAAAAACAAACACAGACCATACAATTTGTATCATAACTTTATTTACGTATCCCAGTTAAAATTTACATTAATACAATAATAAAAATTATAAAAAGAAATGAAAACAAAAACAACAATTATGTGTCACTGTACATTTATATTTTAAAAGATGATGTAGTGCAAAGAATTGACGTTACCTTAAGTGAAAACACAGCCATAGATTAACGCCTATTTATTTAAAACTATCAATTTTTATTTTTTTTAATACAACTAATTTACACAACTCATTCGAAATGTTAGAAAATATTTTGAAACAAAATTAAACGTATTTTTGGAAAATCAATTATGTTGTACGGCTTCCTTGTTTTTGACGAAACGACTTGACTACCTCTACTTTCAAGCCGCGTTGGGGCCTCATAATCAAAAAAAAGAAGAGAGAGAAGAGTGAATTTGAGATTAGTCAAGTTTACTTATCAAACAATTTTAGTAGGTCGTACAACATAACTAAATAAACATGACTCACGATAGTTTCATTTATTTATTACATTGTTGAACTGTATTTATGAAAGTATTTTTACATGAATAAATAAAAACGGGCTTTAAGGGATTTTTTACTCATCTTATACAATGTTCTGTATACTTCAACTTTTGTGAGCCCTTTATATAAATTTCGCAAGTACTTAAGTGACAATATTTTCAATTTAAATAAATCTCTTTCATTTAAAAACAATACAATGTTTACAACTTATATTATATTACATTAAATTTATCTATGAACTTATCAACAAATTCATTTTATACATTTTTTGATGATTTTACTAACGTTTCAGAAACGTACAAAAAATAATTATATTCTTCCGCGATACATCATGAATGAGGTCTATGGGTATAATTATCTTTTATATTAATATTTTTCTTTATCTTTTTTTTCTACTGTGTTCTTAATCTAGCCTTCTTTAGCTTTATCCTTCATGGCTTTTGCTATGGAAAGCTGGCTGTTTTAATTTGTTCCAAAATTAACAGTGTACTTTTTGATAATAATTGAGCTGTTGTTTTAAACGTAGAACGTAACTTTAAAAAAGATTTTTTTCTTTTCCGAACATAAACTACACATAATTAAAAAGGTATTGTTGACTAAAAGCAAACATTTCGATGTAATTTTTTTATTGGAATTCATGAGCCAATTATTTTTACAATAATTATGTTGAAATAACCTTTTTTAAAATGATCGGGGATCAGTCTCATACAAAAAGCAATTAATTTTTAGGCTATCATCTTTTTTACTCAAATTTAATGAAGACAGAAACAAAATAAAGTTCTTTAGATGACCTTTTGAGATGATGTGGTAAACAAAACCTGGTTTTCTTATATTTTGTTGTATACATAGTTTACATTTTTTGTATGTTAATACAGGTCATTCCCAATAATATCTACACTTACAACTAATATCACCAAACAATATTTCACACCAAATCTCATAAGCTCGTTAACCTTGATATTTTAATTAAAGTCCATAATACAATTGTCGCTATTAACAAGCCCGTATTGACTACATTTGTACCTGAAACAATACAGAATTGTATTAAAACAAGGAAACATAGAACATTAACAATACATTTTTTTAATGTCCGTCTCGTAGATTATTTTAAAACATTAGACACATATGCCGATTGCTTACCATCAGGTGTTCCGTCTGCTAGTATACCGGCTTATCCCATAGAAAAACAAATTAGGTACAGATTTTAATCTAATAGTTTGAATTGTGATTTTTAATGGAATACACATTAAAGCGGTGAAACATTTAAACAAGAAAAAGTAGCAAATAAACTCTCATCAAATTATATAAACTACATTACTACTAGGCTACGATAGTCCTTTATCAGATTTAATCAATAACTCAATATTTCAAATCTCAACAAAAAATCGGGAATTACTCACAAGAATATACTGAGAAAAGCTCGCGAAACTAGTAGAGCTTTTCTCAGTATTTTCAGATGAGTAACCAGCGATTTTTATTTAATTTTTTTTATAGCATAAACCGATAAACGAGCAGACGGATCACCTGATGGTAAGCAATCGGCGCCGCCTATGGACACTCGAAACACCAAGGCGTTATAGAGGTAAGTGCGTTACCGGCCTTTTGGGAATTGGGAATTTGAGGATTGTGGAGGATTCGGGGATTCGGGAGACGGGGACTAGGTAATTAGGCCTCCGGTAACCTCACTCACATGACGAAACACAACGCAAGCATTGTTTCACGTCGGTTTTCTGTGAGACCGTGGTATGACTCCGGTCGAGCCGGCCCATTCGTGTCGAAGCATGGTTCGATAGTTATTATAAATCTCCCTGCAATTTTTATGTCAATATAATTTATTATAATGACAATTTTGGAACCAATCGCGTGCATATTTATCGAGAGTTCGGTTTAAATTTATTTACTTAATTGCATTATTTTCGCGTAAACGTTAAATGACCCAAATACAATTATATCAATAATGTGCTCATCGCTTTTTCCCCACTTTAATGGCTTGTGGTATCAACATACTTGTGCAATGAGACTTAACCCCATATCTATTATAATATCAAAGAAGGTCGTGTTTGTTACACTATTTATAACTCGGGAACAGCTAAATCGATTTGACTGAAAATTGTTGAAGGAGTAGCTTAGAACCAGGAGACGAACATGAATGTTAACGTAAACACTATCTTTATACATTTCAAATACTGGACTTAAAATAATTTTATATATGCGATATTTTGACAATTTTAATTAAAAAAATAAGAATTAATTGAACTTACCACTAATATTAGACACATATTTAGACAGTTGCGTGCGCGAGTGTATAGTGATGATGGTGTTTGCGTCCCTGACTACAGGGGGCTCCACCAGCAGTATAGACTCGCAGCGCACACGCAAGGCCCCGCTCGCAGTGGTCGGGACGCGCACCCGCATTACACGCCACGAGCGACGCAGCCCTCCCGGCTGGTTGCCCGTCACTTCAGTCTTCTGCCACGGCTCGGGCTGTCAACAAGTCATTTATTGTAGAATTTTTTCCATTAGCCAACTCTCTGGTTGATAGTGGTTGATTCATGATACACACAAGTATGAGTTAAAAAAATCTTCTCGTAAAAATAGCATTCGCAAGTGCAAGACTAGGCTATAAGTTGAACATAGTTTTGTTTTCGTAATTGGGCGACCTGTTTTAGGGATTATTCCACCCAATGAAGGTGATGATGGTGAATTCTTTATAAATCGCTCGAATATCGATAATGGGCCCAATGTCAAAAAGGCGGGCATCCTTTACATACTGAACCTACTATAACAATAATAAGTATTAACAAACTAATGTAACTGACAATAAATTAGAAATTAAATAGAAGATTCACTTCAATCTACCCTTACAAACAATAATTATCAGACCAGACGATAAGACTTTTTTTTAGTTTTTAGCATTCACAGAGGTCTAACAATTTAGAAGCTTTAGCTCCAATTACGAGTAACACATGGTAACAAGAGATAAGTCGCATTTAAGTCGATTGGCTCTCTAATGGATTATCCAGAGTAGAGGACAGCGGCATTATTAAACTAATGAAACAATACCCCACTGCAATCTATTTGGCCACCATACGCCGGATAATAATTTAATAGAAGCGATGGATGCACAAAATTTAATTTAGTTGTGGGAAATATGCAATTTGTTTACTCACGAAATTTATTATTATTGGATGTTTACATTATAATGTTATTTTACGTTAATTACATGGTAATCTATAATTCGTAGTGAGTATTTACCAATTAATGTTTGTATGGTTAGATGGTGTTATTGAATTTAATTTATATAAAGGTTAAAATTAATCATCGTGGTTGTCTCATGAATTAGGGTGCGCGTTAGAAACCTACCAATAGCAGGTACCGATGTAACTTTTTACGAGTTATATGTATTTTCTAAGATTACTTAGACACCACTGAAAAACTGTGAAGGAAAACATCGTGAGGAAACATGGGCTTATAACTTTTAATTATAAGTTTGAAATCGCCAACCTGCATTGAGCAAACGTGGTGATTAATGGTCAAACCTTCTCCGTGTGAGAAGAGGCCTTTGGTCAGCAGTGGCCACTTATAGGCTGTTGATGTGACAGATTAAAATTATAACCACCTAGTTAACCCCACACTAAGTAATTTTATTAATATTGCTGAATAATTTTGTCATTATTTCAAGAGTATCTTGAAAAAAACGTATAAAAGTTTTAAATCATAATAACTGTTTGTTCATGTAATTTTGTTTACTTCAAACCGGTAATTGATTTAAACTAGCTCATTTTGCTATTGGAACAAAGGATAATATACGTTAGCAAGGAATCCACGAGGATAATGGCAAATTCTATCCTGTCTAATACGAAGTGACTGCTGATGGGAACTGCGTCTTATTAAGCCGGGTGTGAATTCCGAGCGCAGTGCAAATGCGCCTGATGCAAATAATTATTACCACGCGAAATGCTTTCCAGTCGTACTCAATATACTGGAGTATAAGTCACAGAAACACTAATGAGATGGTTAGTATAGGTTAGGTAAAAGTTGGCTTGTTTAGATTAAATACTACTTAACTCGTCGAGTAGGTACCGGTTTTATAGACACAATTAAAGAACAATAGGTCGCGGTCACCGGTGACCGATTGGTGTTTGACAGTTTAAAGTGATATGGCTGTATAATAGATAAGTGGGTACTTGATATAATTACTGTAAGATAGTAGTTACAATTTTTTTAGGTGCATGGGATAAGGTGGTAAATGATCTGACGGATCACTTAATGGCGAGCAATCGGCGCAGCCCATGGATACCCTAACACTAGAGTCGTTACAAGTGCCTTGTCAACCTTTTGGGGGTGAGTAATTTGAGGATTGTTGGGGATTCGAAGATTGGGGAGGGGCCTCCGATAAGCTCACTTACACGACGAAATAGAATGTAAGCGTTATTTAACATTGGTTTTCTGTGAGGCCGTGGTATCACTGGTATCGAGCCGGCCCATTCGTGCCAAAGCATGGCACACCCGTGATCTTCAGAAAAATCGTAATGCGTGAACTCACAGTAATAATATTTTGATGCACATAAATATAAAGAAGGCGTTACTAGATCAACGTACTAAGTACCTATTATGTAACTGTGAATATTTTTTGAAACAATAGTGGCAATCATTTTTGTGAAAAGAATTTAGTTACAGTGAATAAAAACTAAAGAAAAGGAATTTTGTTTGAATGAATAAAAACAATTTCCGATTCTCGGTATTCGTATCATACACCTGTCACATGATAAGCGTAGGTATATCCAAATCCATCTTCGAAAATCCTTGTGACCTTTATATATACGTTTTTACCGGAATCCGAAAATAGATTTAAATGAAATCCTAACACCGGGTTACAATGAACATTGATTTACTAAAACCGCTGTTTATTGAGATGAATAGAGCAACACTTGTCAAAATAAATGTGACGTCATGTAGGAAAAATGATTAGGTGCTTCAAAATTCGATTTGACACGTTTTTGTAATAATATTTTTGAAATATGAGTATAAAGTGTGTTTCCGCGTGACGTGTGTAAAATATAATGCAGAAAAATATGTATTGCATGCCTTTTATTTGAAAAAATAAAGGTCTTCTGTAAATTTTACTCCAGTTCCGTTAAATAGGTATATCTAGAATTTCGAAGTCGACAATTCTATTCATCATTGTTAAGAAAAACTATTTTATTACCATATTTTGATTTAGTTATTATAAATCTACCTTAGTTCACAGAACCAATATCGTAATAATATTTTTACAAAATAAAAGAAAATATATAGAACAGGAAAATAACATTTGCTAATATTAGTTTGCTATTTTTACAGTGAATAATGAACCTGGTTTTCAAGTTAATTGATTCATAGCTTTTTAATTAGAACCTGGAAACGACGCTGCGGTGAGTTTACGTTTACATATTTTATGGAAATTTCAACGTAAATACCTGCTCTATTATAAGGATACGGCTAAACTCATTGAGAAAATGTTAATATTATGAAAACAAGCCGAATAACACCATCAACTGAATTTATGATGATAAATTAAATGAGAAAGTGATAAAAGTTGTAGAAAATTGTTGTGGGAAATCTTACGCAAATTAACTTTTAACAAACTTATGTCATACCTACCTACTAATTTCCTATTTTATTAATTAATGAATTAATTAATTCATTCATTTATTTATTTTTTATTTATTTATTTATTGAATTACGGTCTCCAACAAAGACTACACTTAGAACACACGAGGCACTTTAAAACATTATGGTCTAAACCAAAAAGATGTTCGAAAAATTCATTGAGCTTTTTACAAATCCACATCTTTAGATATATCATTATTTTTTCCAATCACATACAAGCTATACTACGGAACGGTTAAGAGGAAAATCAAACCAAACCTCGTTAAAATCTAACTTAAACCTAAACAAAGGAGAATATAACAACAACAACAACAAAAAAAAACAACCAACTCCACACAAACGGAATCGAACAGCCAAAACCCATATATTTACAAAAATCTAATTATAAACATTTTAAGGTTTTACTGCTGGAAATAAAGGAAGAGCATTTGGACGAAATATACTGGCTGTTTTAAAAGGCCATTAGCGAAGATTTAAAGAGTACCTCGGCTGCTTAGAGTCGCTTAACAATGAGCCAACGTAATGGCAAACAATGCAGGTCCACTTCATACAAAGGAGGTCCGTAAAGTGGTAGGTCATAATAATATGCAAGGATAAACCACCTGCATTATTATATTATATTTATTAACTACCATATTTGGAGAGTAAGGAAGGAATTTTGCTTGTTTATTACGATTTTACTCCTGTGTGTTATGACTGTCTTATAAACTACTTATAAACTAACCTTACTTGGGGCCGATTTATCCAACGCTAGATAAATTTTAAATAAGGGATTACTTTGAATATTTGTCAATTTTCCCCATACTAACATTTTTCAAATATCAATTTTATTGTACAGGTAAGTATTAAAAATTGAATGATTGAAAAATCGGGCCTTATTGAATAGTGTGTCACTCATTCTCTTAAAAATTAAATATATTTCTACTTAAAATTTAATCATAAGGAATAATAGCTACTCAAAGCCAGCTTTCAGAGACAGAAATTCATTTTTTTATAATTTAGTTGAAGAATTCTAATATTATGAAAATGCCAAATACAAAAGGTATAGTTTGCAATCATAAGTCATACTAGGGATAATATTCATTCGAAAATATTGGCAAAAAGCCGACTAGGTATTTACAATCGAGGGTTTCAGTAATGAAAAATTGGAATTGGCCGTTTGAAGCATTTGCAGAAATGTAAATAATAGTAGGGAGGTCGTGATTTAATCATAAATCTATTTTAGGGAGTGTACTTTCATGTCTGAATGCGGAAAGAAGAAAATTACTGACGTTTTGAAATTAAATAATATTCCCAGAAATTGTTAATTTTCGTTGTTGCTAGTCAGTTTTCACGTAGTATCTAATGTTTAGGTGATTGCTATTGATATTGTCCTCAGACAAGAAATCGAATTCAAGATATATATAGTCCTATTGAAATTTAAAACAACTAGACCAAAATCAAATACTAGGTATTTGTCTTTCTTTAACAGCAGCTTTTGAGCTCAACAAATAAATTACATTAGTTAAAATATATATATATATATATATTATAAATCACTTTTACAAAGCAAAGAGGACCTTCATCTTATTATTCTGGACTTCATTTTGAGGAGCATAATCCTCTCAAATTGGATTCCTGTGTGACATGACAACGAACATACATATTCTGTCCGGACTATACATACACAGTGTATTGTCTGCCAACAATAGACATACTGACACAATGTAAAATTTATCTTGATAGTGGAATTATATTCTGCAAAATAAGATCAGGAATCGAGTATTTTCGAGTATAAAAATGTGTAGGCTATTTAATGTCCAATGATTTGCTTATTAAGAAGTTATTAAATTAGTATAAAAAGATCCTATAGTCTTAAGGTAGTTGCACAACTCATTTGGCATGTAATAATACTAAAATGTAAGTCAATCTTATCATCCAAAGAATTACCCTGCAATAAACACATTGTGCCGAGCAAATCGAATGAATTCATCAGTAAGTTCCTGCTAATAGCCATCGAAATACCAATGGCTTGCACGATTTTCAGCTTAAATCGATGAAACTATTAATGAATCTAAAATCGCATTGCAATCGCTATCTCCCTTTATGACTGGATTTCTGCTCGTAAACCCAATCACGATCAAATTAAGCAAATTGATGGCAAAGGCTGTTGTGTACTAACCTTTTGTAGCTCCTCGTCGATGTACCAATTAATATCCGACGGTGGTAGGGAGAAATCGGACGTGCAGTTCAGGAATACTTGCTCCCCAGGTTTCAACACTTTTGGCGCTCCGATTATCACGGGATCCGCTTGCGGCATCGCTAAACACAAAATAGATTTGAATACATCGCCAACCTCAACATCTAGGTGTCATAACTTCGTTATAAACTTACACCGCCCAAATGCGGCGATCGCCAAGGGGAATCGACTATCTCAAAGTCCTTACAATCGTAGATGAGATGCTGAACTTAATTAAAAGCCTTAAATTCGAATTGCCGAGTTACGCTATTGTTAGGCCGAGGCCATATTGATGTCGGCGGCGGCGGTTTGTGTTGTTCAGATAATTGCACCGATAAAACTTGTGGTTTTAGAGGCGAGCGTGGTACGGCTATTAACGAAAGCTCGAACTAGACGCTGTTAATGTCATCAATGTGCGCTCACCCTGAAACAAGCTATTTTACGATAGGCTAATGTACTTTATATGAAATACAATCAACATAAGACTTTATTCTCGAGCTTTATAGTGCATTTTTAGTATTTTCTTGCAGAGTGCTGAGTCACATAGCACGCTATTCAACATGAATGAGTTAGGTATGTGTAAGTAGGTACTCGGGGACCGCCGAGTAAGCTACTTAGTAACAATAAACTGTTACAGACTTGTAAATTAAAATACGTTTGACAAAAGGACTAAGTGCGACTTGTGAGTTACATAAGCACGTATGTACAATGAAAGAGAAAATGTTTAACGTAATAAATGAAAACATAAAGTTTTTTATGTCTAGGCACTTTTACCACATATAAATAGCCGAATACGCATGTATACTACATTTATACACTTCTTCAAATATAATTTGATTTCCATTGTAATGGAATGAAGCTATTCTCAAACGTCTGGTAAAAGTAAACACTTCGAATTCGTTTTTTGTGTGTGAAAAAAGATTCTTTTACGTGATATAAAAAGAAAAAAACCCTAAACTGCCAGACAGTTTTCATGGAAAATCTTTTGATTGCAAAAGCTTACTTTATGAGCTAAAAATATTAAGTATTTATTCAACAGAAAATTACAGTCTTGGTTATCATTCAATGAAGTCTTTGGGTGTCTGCTAATTTAAGGATTGTACGAGTATTATGTACGAGTGTTCCATAACACTCGTTATGGAACACTCGTACATAATACATACATAACAAGTACATAGTAAATAACAATCGTACATAACAAGACTCGATTTATTTAATAATACCATGTATTATATACATATATATTTAATGATACCATGTATTATTAAATAAATCGAGTCTTGTATAGACAAGACTCTATTTATGCTATAGAGCATAATAGGAAAAACTCATATTTTTAATAACCTCAGCTACCAACATGTATACTCCGACTGTACAGCTATTATTCCTAACTTACATTTTTCACAATAATTTCTAGAAAAGGTAGATTTAAGACTTCGTCATAAACATGGAAGCATAAAGCATCTTTAACAATTTCAGTTTCTCTCAGGCGGACTCAAATACTCGCAAAGCTTGCAAGAAACAGAGCGTAGAGAAAATTGTGGTAAAAAAATAAACGCTCCGTTACTCTCGAGATGGAAACTTGTTTTGGTTTCCCTTCATTTTGTTTTTAAAAACAACAACACTGAGTAAATAAATCGTTCATCATCATTAGCATAGGCCCGTATAATATTTTTATATGACAGTTAAATGAATGGAACTTGAATTATTTTCGCGTTAAAATGTTACTTTTAGAGTATCATTCGTTAAAACAATAAACCTTTGAAGTATCCGCTTTCTGTTATTTTAATTTGTTTAGATAAGGTTTTATAAATACGAGGTTTTTGATCCTAATAAAACAACGTTTCAATAAAACATAATACGCTCTTCTATAGACTGAATGGCTCTTTACCTAAATCTCTCAAACCAGGGTATTTTCTAACCTAAATCCAGCTTAGCACATTGATTGGTCAATTTTGCCGTGTGCATAAATTCGCCTGCACAAAACAGAGCTTAAAATGGATTTTATTTCAGTCGAATTGAAACTTTATGATCAATGAAATAGAACTGATGTTTTATTGTACAGCTTAAAGCTGGTGAAACGATTGGCCGTATGCCTTTTAGAACAACTATTTTGTCGGTGTCAACCGCAATTGCTGGCGATTGAAAATTGAGTTGGTGTTATGGTTGTGTATGTTTTAGGTATAAAAGTTGCAGCTGTGTGCAGATTATTTGATACGCAACATGGAGTATAAAATTTTCCTGACTGCTTTCATTGTAATTTATTGGTATGCACGACACTCTTTTGAATTTTTCATAATGTGCGTTACATTTTGACATAGACATTATCGGCGATATTATAGACGAATCTTTAACGATAGAATTTGTTTTTGAGGTGAAGGCATACATATTTACGTCAGGTTATAAAATTACTTGTAAATCAATAATATAGTTAAGTAGCGTTCGTTCAGTATTTTTGAAAACTCTAATGCCTAAGGGTGTTGTCTAGAAAAACTTTAGATATACTAAATTTCTTCGAATTTTATTAAAGCATTTTTTTATAATGTTACTTTAATTACCAACAAGATATTTTGTTTCTAAGATGGTGATGATGATGATATGTACTTTATATGATAATTATAGTCCCCTATAGCTATCAACATGATGTCTTTCATAAGTTCTATGCTATTATAAAACATAAACAAAACGCTGTAATTATTCTAGTCAGGCAGTGCACGAACCAATCACGATACGTCAGCCAAGTTTAATTACCATAACGTACTATGGGATCGTTTGATTGACTATTGCAGACTGTGTATCGAGTTACAAAGCTTTCTACGCCGCCTGTACATCTAATACGTTGTTTGTTGAAAGGGTATATACGCAGATACTACTGAAGTAAGGTACAATCACTCTATCCTTGTCGCTCTACCGTAATCTGAGATGTCTCGCTCTTTCATACAACCTCAAACTTCAGTGCGTCTAAGTTATTTGATGCTTACTGTAGGCTACGTCTGTTCTGCTGGCCGGTGCAAGGTATACTAACAAAGTTACCACACATTTCTGAAAGACAGATACGGTTTTCGATCTGTGAATGTGCTATTTTGAACGTTGTTGTGATTGGTTGTATGACGGCCAATTGAATTACTCGCTAGTCTTTATGTCTCTGACTCTCTTTGTGAGTATGGAGTAAGCCAATTCTCAGAAGATGGAAAATGTCACTTTAGTGGCGAATGCAATATACTTTCTTAGTTTGAAGTCATGTTTCGGCTCTTATGGCAAAACAGAGACCATTTTTAGCCGACTTCAAGAAGAAAATAAGGGTATTCTCAGTTTGAGCCGTATGTATGTATGTATGTATATTTGTGTGCAATTATCTCACGATTAACTGAACCGGTATTGATGCGGTTTTCAGAAAGTGTTTGTTACACTTAAGAGATGGTTTTAGTTTATTAACTAACCTACTTCAAATAAAGAGTTGAGTTGGTTTTTTAAACGAGTATAAAATAGTTATCTTATTATGAAGTAATAAGCAAATTTTAGTACTTGCATAACATAATATCACGCCTTTTATCCCCGAAGGGGTAGGCAGAGGTGCACATTATGCCACTGTACAATGTAACACCCACTTTTCACTATTTATGTTATGAGTCCCATGTAATAGGGGGTGAGCGTATTGCCATATACCGGGCACAATTCCAGACTCCGTGCTACTACTGAGATTTTTTTTAAAACCCAGTAATACTTTGCCCAACCCGGGAATCGAACCCGAGACCCCTTGCCCGGCAGTCGCACTTGCAACCACTCGGCCAACGAGGCAGTGCAGTTAGTACTTGCAATGACTAACTTATATGTACAAAATAGAAAACTATTTGTAAATATTCATCTGATTATAGTCTGGCGACTGATTGCAGATATAAAAAAAAAATTGTAAATATTAATGCAATCTCACCAACAACAGTCATATGTTTCGTCTTCCTCGCTATCTGGAACCTGGGCCCTTCTGTGGACACCTCGCAGGTGTATGCAGCTCTCGTGGAGATCGGAGGAGGCATGACCCTGACCACGCAGTAGTCTGGTTGACATTCACCGCCTTGCACCATCACGTCTGATATGTTGAAAAGACGGATTGAAGGCTGTGGACAAATTTATATTTTAAGCTTTTGTTTCATGGTTGATTTTACATTATAATCTAATGAGACAAATCATAGGCACATTAAGTCCTTTTTATAACAAGTCAAGTAAATTCTGATACTGATACCAAGAGAGTAATGAAATTTCATCAAAAATGAAATACATTTAAGCAAAAACTGTATTTCACCCATTTTGAATTGGATGGGCTCCAAAAAATTACGTAACAGTTCAAAATTTTGACTTCGAAATCTGTCATTTTGGTTAACGAAATAAAAACAACATGATTGAAGAGCTATGATAAGATTTTTACAATGCGCAGGGAAGTATAATGACAGACGGTGATGGAATGGCTGCGTCGTTAACTTAATGTAAAAGCTTATTCATTTTATTGTGATGAAACAAAGGAAAGCATATAAAATAAATCTTACTGTAATACGAGACTTTGGTTGCGTGGATTTTATCGGTGTTAAAATTAAGGCTGGCTACATTTTATAGGATGATAGATAGAGTGCAGATATAAATGTTATTGAAATGTTTATACAAATAGTCTACTTATTTAACATAACATAACATATTATACCACTGTACAATGTAACACCCACTTTTCACTATTCATGTTATGAGTCCCATGTAATAGAGGGTGACCCTATTACCATATACCGGGCACAATTCGGAACTCCGTGCTACTACTGAGAATTTTTTTTTTAAATCCAGTAATAATTTGCACGACCCGGGAATCGAACCCGAGACCCCTTGCCCGGCAGTTGCACTTGCGACCACTCGGGCAACGAGGCAGTGTACTTATTTAAGACCGCTTATAATCGTGTTAATATTTCCTGTCATGTGTAATGGGCTTAGTTTGATTATTTCTCAAATGAAAATATTATTGAAGACACTTGAATCCAACGGATGTTACACGTGCTGTGGCTGACATTGATGATGATAACGTTTTCAATTTTGTTCTAATCCTCTTTAGAGTTTGAACATTTCGTAAAACCTGTTATAATTAATCAACAAATTTATTAGAGTTGTACCAAATCCTAATCTCTATTATTAGGTACAACAAAATATTAGCAACAATACCCTCAATTTGAGCCATTCATAACCTCCAAATAGTTGGAGCTTTTGATAACCCGCTGTGTATGGATACAGCGTGTTTCTATTCCTGTTTTCTATTGGAACGGTTTCCATTATCCTCGAACAACAGATTGTATCGATAACTGGAACATCTGGTGATAACAACGCATTTCATATTGAATGTAGCACGCGGCTAAAGACTAGTCGAAATAGGGTCAAAATGTAGACGATTTGAATTCGATCCAAAACGTTCTGTAGACTAATTAGATGAAATTTTAATCAATGCTGCGGCTTAATGGTGGTGTTTCCATGTTGTAAGACGTTCATAGTATTGGTATCACAAAGCGACATCACACTTCTCTTGTTCTTGTACGACGAGGAAGGGAGCGGTGTATTCATAAACTGCAAGGCTATTTTGTAAGATGTTAATTCGAACTCTTAGAGTGAGTTGGATCACAGTCTGCCATGTCATTGGTTGTGAGAATATTCTCGACCAACGACGGTCGAGAATACGATCGAGCTCACTTTGAAAGCTCGAATTGACTTCATACAGAATAGCCTTGCTGATGTAGCTAAAGTCATTTCCAACACTTTTGTTACAGAACTAAGGAAACTGATTATATTCTCCGTCAGAGGTTAAGCATTGCCATACGACGTGGCAATGCTGGCAGCCTTCTGGGTACTTTCCCCACTGACGTCAATGCGGACGAATTTTTCGATGCTTTATGTAAATAGTTGTTTTTGTTTTTCTTACAATTAATTTTAATCTTAAGTTGTTTATATTTAATTTAGTAATATTTAGTTTTAATTTCATTTAAGTAATAATTAGTTTTAATTCAAGTTTTTTATTTGAATAAATGCTTACTGAAAAGGAAACTGATTAAATAATTACATAAATTTAAATTACTGTTGCTTTATTCAGTTGTAGAACAGTTCCATATTAAATAATGCCTAAGCAAGTAACCTTTAACTAAACTCATCACATCTATCAACTGTAAATAAAACTATTACTGGAAAATCCAGCAAAGGTTCCCAAACATTCTGATAGACAGCCAAGGCCTATAGCAATCAACAATATTGTTATTATGTTGACTAATTTAACAAACTCTCAGTTTTAGTTAGGAACTTTGGACGTGTTTATGATCGGTACAGACTGGGTGAGGTCGAATTGATCGATTGAAAACAATGGGTCTATTAGTAGATGTTGAGTAACGTCTTATAGTTGTGATACGGTGTCTGGTAAAGTTTGTGGTTATAATGGGTATTGTTATATATAAGATCATCATAGCGTAATTTTATTTAACCATATAGTGATAGCTGGTAGGAAGGAGTAGACATACAGGGTGTAAGGAACGCTTCCAGAAAACGAGGACAGGTGATGGTGAAAAAGGAGTTCTATTTTCCAAATTGTAATGAATCAAATGTTTCTTTTGCGCAATAATAGTTGTAATCAACTGCTCAAAAAAGATTTCGGAATCGTTCTGATTACAGCCTGTATAATATAATAGAACACATTTTATGTTATGAGTCATATGTATATATAGTCATAATAAAGGTGAGCTTTTATTGATATATAGTACAGGGCACCTTTTCAAACTGGAATTTCGAAAAGAAACAAAAATAAAACCATGTTACTTTGCTGGAATCCAATCCAAGATCTTTTGCTTGGCAGTCGCGCTATGAAATACCAACAAAACTTTCGAGTTTTGGTCAAGAATTTTCAATAATACCATAAAGTTTCATATTATTATGCGTTTGAGTTACGTAACCAATTACCATATAAGAACACTAGCGGACCCGACAGACGTTGTCCTGCATATAATATAATAATAGGTATAGATAAATAACCTAAATACTGACTGCAGCGCCATCTGCCGGGTTGATTTGTGAATCTAAGCCATCCATTGCGCCACTTAAAAGCATACAGAAAAATTCATTTAAATCGGGCAAGCCGTTTAGGAGTTCAATGACACACACACACACACACACACAGCAGAATTGTACATATAAAGAGATTGTAAAACATTATAATTTTATGTAAAAACTTGAACACTTAAAATCTAATCTATATGGAAAATGTATATAAAAGCGAAGTAAATAACATTATAAATTCTCTAAAGTAAAATAAGACGGAAATAAAACAGCTTCTGAAGTTCCTGTTTACTTTGCAAGGGACATGAGCGACTTTAAGATTGCCGTGGGAAATCAAAATACGTTTAGTATCTTCAGGGGATAAATAAACGACTGGTATGGAATAATAAAATGTATTTTACGGCACAGTAAACAATTTTGTATTATTATTTTTTTGTTGCTATAAATGGAGTGAAGTGATGTGTATTATTTTGTTTATATTGCTTGTTAAATTGCATTTTATCTTATATTTGTGATTGATTTTTAGACTTGGTTGATTTGTGGTAGATACAAACAAGAACCACAAATATTTTAACAAAAGGATGTCTGTTCAATAAAAACATTATAAAGAATGTAAAAGTACTAACTGCAGTACCTTCGATGTTCTTATAAAAATAAATAAACCACACAATATTCATACAGCACTAAAAAGACATTCGCGAACCATTTTAACTAACCAGAATAACGTTTAAAAGCTTAATAATGAATGACTAGAATACGTTTACAAAATTCAGTAATCGTTAACGGAGCTAAAATCTAGATTTTACACAAACGTGTACACTTACAAAAACCGCCACCGCGGAAAACTGAGCGTTAATTTAAAACAAAACTGCAGACTTTTTAAAAATGGAAGGAAAAAACAGACAAACGCACCTGCTGTGTGGGATTATATCTGAATATCTCGTTAGTGTCCCTGTACCACTTGACAGAATGAAGTTTCTGTTCATCCATCTTGAAGTGGCAGCTGAGCTCGGCTGCCCGCCGGGGGTCCGCGTACAGCGGCACCTTTAGCTGCGATATGTCGTGTGCTGATGTCGTCACTGCAAAAGACAATATGTATTATTCTATTGATGTAAAGTGTATAGTTGATTGTCATGTGGATTAGGTATCGCTGCTATACTTTGTTAAATCAGATTTTAGAAGGTCTGTTATAGTTTTTAATTGTACTTAATAAAAGACACGAATAAAAGGAACATATTGCCCAACAATATATAAATCTTTATTTATTTTCCAGTTTTAAATACTTCTACATTCGAATCAATATTTACTAAGAAATAGTACAGTTTTATGTCTTTGAAATATAGTTTTAATCGTAGCAAACGTCAAACCCAATAAAATAACCTTAATTAACTAATTGGAATTTTTACTAAAGTTACATTTTGTGAACGAAATTAACAGGATTATGTAAGTCAGGAATAATTTACATAATAAACACACACTGTGTACATACCTATATACATATGTATAATTAGTATACATCTAACACGTGTGAACCATTAACGTAACTTATGTATGAACAAACGGTAAATGAGATGCTTTATGTAATTAGTTTCGCCTGGTGATGTAAACTTGCCTCCAAACGCTTCATAAATGGCAATTAAAATACATTATATTATTCGTCAATTCAAGGCTAGAAAATAATGTTTTATATCGTGTTTTGTTAACAGGAAAGTAATGAATTAAAAAGGAATTTGATATTCAAAATGAAGTAGGCAAATTGAGGATAAATATTTTTATAGCTATTTCACTATGACCTCTAAATTGTCGCTTTACTAAAAAGAAAAGTACACTAGTTGAAAGCGTGACGTAACACTTGAACCAATTCCTTACTTCTACTGTTTTCTGTCACTTATAGGTTGGTGAAAATAAAAATGACGTTATATATCATTTACCTTAGCTACGGGATTTTTGGTAATTTTTGGAGAGGTTAGTGATAACGTATACCTAATTTATTCAATATCATACATAGATTTCTAGACAAAGTGTCACGTTCAGATATTATTAAAATTACTAAAAATTAAATAATGCACAAACCAGTCAAAACGTACCAGATGAATTTATTTATTTATTCGTAGCGGACGCTACGATTGTTTGCTACGGCGTAGTCGCGTAGTCCATTCTACGGTTCTATAGCGAAACGCGTTAATTAATATAAAAGCTGATATATTATTTTATTATGAAAAATAGTGACTTCATTTGTTACAGAACAAAAGGTAGTTTTTATCAATGACATTAAAATAATTAATTTCTAGAGAATTGCACGTGCCAATTCGCTTTATTTTTAATTAAATGGAGAGACAATAGCAATATAAAAATAGCACTAGTTTTTTTCTGATTTGCAAGTCATTTTTATTACGTAATCAGCTTATAAGTAAAATGTTCTTTGTTGTTATTAGAACCATTTTTACTAATTGCTCCCATTGTGTTTCAGTGAAATAGAGTGTCTATTGTTTTAAGTGCGGCTTAGACTTTTTAGACTTTATTATATTAGCAAATACTACGAATTCATTAATCTTTTTCATATCACAAGCATAACCTTTGTGGTTTTAGTGAAACAATAAGTTAACCTAATTTGAATTTTATTCTATATGTACTAAAGAACTTATTATAGTAGTTATATTTATTATGTATATGTATATTTATTTGGTATGTAGGTATAGATAGTATTATATTGTATGTATTGTTTTAATTATTATTGTACACTAGACGACCCCCTTTTTTCCAACTCCTGATAATTGGCTCCATCCAAAGGTTGTCTGTAAAAAATCGCATTCTGCGATAAGACCGCATTGTACACATTCTTTTTATGTTTATTTTTCTATGTGTGTTTTTATGGTGTACAATAAAGTGTATAAAGTGTGTAAATAAATAAATAAATAAACTTAATCAATTTCTTTTGTTATTCACATAATAATATTATATGTAAGTTCTTCTATAACATTTTTCATAAATTATAAACGTTTCATATTAGATTGTTTACAAAATTCACACGAAACAAACATGGTGAACCCAAGGGCAAATGTTTGAGAGGTTGAGTCCTCGGTGTAAACAGCAAAGTATAATTTGTGTGAAAGTCGACGCCACGCCAGAAAAGTTGAGCTACTTTTTAAAACGTTATTTTGTTCAACATCTCAACATATCTGGTGGAAATAATATACAGGGTGACTTGTAACTCGACGTATTCCTCTCGGGAGGTGATAATACAGCTAATTTCCTACAAAATTTGCCCTCAAAAGGTCCCTGGTCCGAATGTGGCTAGTTTCTGAGATATTCAACATAAAATTCTCAAAAATAAATTAATAACTTGATGATTGAGTGATTGACATCACGCGTGTAAAGGAATATGGGCAATTTCAAAAATATTATTATTTATTGAATTTTGTTCAAAGTGACCTTCCCTCTGATGAATACATCCGTACACGCTTTTTTATAAATATAATTTGTTTATAAATATTCTTCTACATAGTGGACACGTGAGAACACCATAAACATAGTTATAGCTAATTGCCGCTGCTGGTCGGGCTTACATTTCATCACGTTTAGCATCTAGGTTTACAAGCTGACGAATCTACGTGTGTAACGACTGCTGTTTTCTTTAAGTTCAATTTCCATCTCCTAATGAAAGTTGTTAGTCGTATCTAACAGAAATTGAGAGAAATTAGTAACAATACATATAATGTTGTCAGATAAAGTTAAATTACGCTATAAATGATGACGATGTATCTGTTTGTTCTCGTGGTTTACAGTATGGTGTGTTTGTGAATATGTATCTTTGTACGCACACAGGACACAGGAGAAAATCCTATAGTGTTGTACACTAGGTATAGGATTTTCTATAAATACACATATAAAAAGAAAATAACAAGATCCTTAGTTTCTTGGATTACAAAGACCACCCTAATGTATCACTGAAGACGGTTCTCGTTGCATACAAGGTCAAATTTAAGTATACTTTCAATTTCTGCTAAGTGCTGTTCAAGAATACACGATGAAATATTTGACACGTTGTCTTGTCCCTCGATTCTAACGAGACAGTCACTATAAACATCTATTTGTTACGAAGTCTACAACGCCTACAACAATTTGGTACTGCCAATTTTTCTGTGACATCTATGACCTTCGCCAAATTAGTTTCTGTACCCTCTACATGACTGGCATTAACAAAATTAATTTTATGACAATCCAAAAGAAAAATATTGGGGATCTGTCACCCAACGAGTCATTTACTGAATATACTTTTTGCTTGTAAATATGATGTAATAGATGTTATTTATCTGTAATAGATGTTTATTTGTGTACGTAGGTCCTATTAATTAGAATATTAATCTACTTCAACACTGAAGTTTTAATAGACAACTGCATGTGGAGGAAAATTCTTTAAGCGTGGGAGAGTCATGCTTTGGCATGAATGGGCCGGCTCGACCGGAGTGATACCACGGCCTCCCAGAAGACCGATATGAAACAACGGTGTGTTATGTTTCGTCGTGTGATTGAGGTTACCGGAGGCCCATTTAACCCCCCCCCCCCCTTTTCCCAATCCCTGAAACCCCAAGAATCCTCAAATTCCTAATCCAGAAGGCCGGTAATGCACTTGTAACGCCTTTGGTGTTCCAGGTGTCCATGGGCGACGCCGATTGCTTGCCATCATCATTCGTCTGCTCGTTTACCAGCATAACCCATAAAAAAACATAAAATCTACAAACAGCGAAATAACAAGGTTATATCAATGATGAGCAAAACAGACTAATCAAGTTCCCTAATAGGTGACAATGATTGACTAATTTAGTCTATACTATTTAGTATATTTACAACAGTATACGAACAGTAGCTAACCATACATCCCGAGCCGACACAAGTAAGTACGTCTACTCTGACTTAGTTGCCTTAAGAGGCTAAACTTGAGCGGTACTTACGGTGGTGTATTGAAGCAGTTTACTCCAAGAGCTTGTACTTGGAACTGCAAGTAGATTACGCCTTGCGGTTATCGCAGACTCGGCGATATACATGTGTGAACACCGCTTCAGAACATATTGTGGGTACAGGCCAAAACATACGTTTACTAACTCATCTTATTAATCATTGGAACATAGTTTCATTCACTTCATTTTTGTAAAATGCTTTGTGCGTAATTTTTGAGTAGGTATGATGTTCGAACAAGATGAAACACTTTGCTATTTTATTACAAACTGCGTTATCTTATAAAAAACAAATTGTGCAAAGACCAACATGTTTTTAAACAGTTTATATCTGAATATTGTTGATCGAAGATCTGAATAGAAGAAATCCGTACTTGTATTTAAGCCTTCTTAGAGTACCTACTCACTCTTTTCATGAATAGCATGTATTGTGTACGTGAAATGTGTTTGCATTTGAGTCAACCTTGCTGTGGTCTAAAAATAAACTCAGTATAAATATTATTTTATAAAAATCGCAGAACACAAATAAAGTGTACCTACTCAGTGATATGTAACATGCATGATCTCCTCTTTCATTTTTACGGAAAAATTAGAGTACTTTATCGTTTGTAAATTGAATTGGACTACAGCCTACAGATGGTTGGACGTCCATCCAAAAAACGTAATTCTATAAAGTCAGCATGTGGAGATTGCGTCCATTGCCCTTTACGTTTTTTCTACTAAAACGTAGTAAAAAGCTTGACCCGAGTGGTGGCTGTACGATACAACTTTATGCGGAGGGTTAGTACACTATTCGGGGTGGCAAAAACCGCAAACTTTTGGATCGTTCTTAATAAAACATAGAGGACGGTGAAAGAGGAGGTATTAAGTCAGAAACTCATGATTGGGCTATATTTTCCATGAAAGAGATAATGAACAAAATAATCTAAAATGCACGAAATTGTACGTACCTATTTCATGTAGTAAATGCTTTTACACATTTGTGTAACCAAAAGTGATAAAAGAAAATGGTCGAAACTACATAATATGATTTATTTCATAAAACCCATTCAAACAATAATTTAAGTTATTCAAGCTTGTGAGCACATATAACTAAGTACAAAGGTTGAAGGTCATTACAGGGGTCAGTCAGTAAATGGAGAAGGGTCATCTGAACTCTCTCTAATGATTTAACCACAAACGGACTATGGTCACTTCAACAGATCGTATCAAGAGAAATTCTAACTTAAGTAATATCCGACATAGTTTAGTAACGTAGGGGCATTATCACCAATGTAACTCACAGCAAAAGGCAGACGTGACAAATGAATAATAATGACTTTGTAAGATGAACAGAAAATGCAGAAAGTAATAGTGATTTCTAATGCAGATTCCGAACGTTTGCTGCCATCGCGTTGCAATCCGCGCGCGCCTCAAGAAGCCATCAGATCACCACAGATGACGACTAGTAAAGTGAATGCCGTCGCAGAATACTTAACGTGTTGCCGGAGCTCCGGCTCGAAGAGCCGAAAAAGGGTGATTTTTAGTCAGTAAGAGGCTGACAATCCCTCTCGCCTCACCCAAGGTAGGGGAAGCAATTAGATGAATTTCCCCCTAAAAAAATATTGCTGTTTTGGTTTGCGTCAATACAAAATGTGATTATAAATAGGTATAATTTCATAGAGCCTCTGCAGAATTGTTCCGGGCTATTACAAGAACTTTGCTTATCCTCCACATCACGTTGGCAAGGAAATAAATGTCGGTAATAATGTAACCTTCCTAACGTTGTCGATTACGATGTGAGCTTTAAGATATTCTGTTGATGAAGCCCCACGTTAAGCATGACGACCTTGCTTAATGTAGCGTGTGTTATTAAGTAAAGCGCTTTACATCGATTTATGTAAGCGATTTTTATGTACAGACGACGGCACCTCAAGCCATATAATCCAACATAATTTGACCTCACAACGCTCAGTTTTAAGTACAGATAGAGGTTAATTTATACTGGTGTCTACAGTCTCAGTTGCTTTCGTCTGTACGTGATGTGAGGTACCAAAAATGAGTTCGATGTTCTTGCAAAAATTATGAATTCTCAGTGAAACCCTTATTAGATTGTTGGGTCGAATATTGAGTTCGCTTTGAACTTTAAGTAGATTTATTTTAATTTATTTTCAAAGCAAATGTTAAGGTCATGTTTTTGAACAGCAATGTTTCGTAGTACCCCTTAAAAGTAACCAGTTGAAAGCCATTACAAACATTATTGGTATATTTAAATTTACAAAGAGCATTATCGAATATAATAGCTTTTACATTAATGAAAAGTTCATTACACAGTATTAAGAGTCGACGTGGTTTACTATTTAATTTTCATACGTAGGATAAATAATAGTACTTATTGTATGATTAACAGGAAATAACCACAAATAATACCAATTAATATATAATTATTATTATATACCATCGGTTATTTTAAAGTTGAATTACCTATGTAGGTATAAAATTAATTCACATTATACTTACATTATGGTTATTATATTTATGATGATCGAAAACCATTGGCGTAACCAATAGCGTACGCACATGGTTCATTGCCAAAAACCCTAGTGATTTACCAAAACAATAATTTATCGTCTTTAAAGAGTTATTTACTATAATATTCTCATATAATTTATTCCTGAAACGGAAATTCCAGTCCATTTACTCTACTTTAGCACTTTGGTTCGACGAAGGGAAAGAAATGCTTTTAATAAAAGTAATTTCGGAACAAATTTACTCGATTTGCGTCGGATAAAGGTTGAATAATAATTATGGAGGAGGGTTCCAACTAAGTAATTTACTTAAGTTGCTTTGCTGTGAGCTTCGTATTGACGCTCCCACTGACGCGACGCGAAGCGACGCTGGCATTCGAAATATCAAAAGTTTCTACTGAACTCGACTGTCACTGAATATTCAGTCCCCAAATTGTTTCATTAGTTAAACTAACGTTTTTATTAATCCACCGAGACAATGATTAATAAAGGTATTGTATTTATTATTGTTATTATTAATTTCAAACGTGTCGTTTTGAATTTCGACTGAAATATTACCAGTCCCAAGGGTTTATTTGACAAATTTTATTTTCACATTAGTGAGATGGAGTTGTCAAAATAATAAATCGATTTACGGGTGATGATGATTTAAATTGTTGGAGATTGTTATTAGGACTGACATGTAATTTAGAAAAGGGTTTCATTTAGGGCCGTGGGTTTGGAAAAGAAAGGTTTTTTCGGTTCTATAATTTGATGGCCATTTAAAATTGTCTACGTACATGACAGATACAAATTAATGATATATTAACAAACACAAAGACGTGTACAATTGCAAGAATATACATACGTATAACTAATATATTTTCAATACAATAAAATTGATAAGTAAATTGAAGCCTCGATGTGTCTGTAAACATTTTAAGAGGAGAACAATTTTGCGAAATTGATTCGCTTGAATGAGTTCAAAGGATGATTTTGTGAATTGAAATGATATTCGTTTCTTTCGGAAATGATTGGGGTTTTATGGGCTCTTTATTACTTTATCTATTACAATGTTTGGGTTATTATTATTTCGTAATACACTAAACCTATAGGCGAGTTTATAATAGCA